AGACGACAGATAAACACTAAGAACTCTGGAATGGATTCCTCGAGAAGCAAAACGTCCTCGAGGGAGGCCACCGACCAGATGGGCTGACGTTTCGTAGCACGGATGGACTGAACTGGTAACGTGTAATGGACCTGGACCTCGCGAACGTCGTCGCCGCACTTCAATACCAAGTTCGTGGATGACGCTGGCGAGAGACAGAAACGGATGTAAACGGTGCTGTGGCCTGCACGACCATCTAAGTAAGTATTAGTTGGTAGTATGTTGAGTCGTATTTAATACTAGTTTACTAATGGATAAAATAATTTTACAACTTATCTTTACGTTTTCTCAGGATTTTGAAGGCATTTCCACGTGCCGACCTTACAAATAAATCGCATATTGTTGTTTGCAAATTAGGAAATAAGATTATACAGTAACTTGCAGTTGGGGATACGTGGACATCTTCTCTTCAGTAGTCTTTTATATTTCAGCCAAAGTACGCGAGTTTGTGCATATTGGCTTGTTTTTTTTTTTCAGAAGAAGTACCACTGCTAGAAAGTGTGCAACTATATCTTTATAAGACGGCTGTTTTGCTGTCTATGAGAAAAGAAAATGGGGGATTGAGATCGGCTTTGCGCGTGCTCAACGATCCGTGCAGCGGATGTGAACGATTTGCAGCTTGTCACGAAACTTTGCGACGCCGTACCAGCACTGCACATTCACAGCAGGTTTTGATAGACGTGAATAACTCGATAGAGCATCACAATGTCTTTTGTCTTTGCCTGTTGAAATGGTCAATCGGCAGTGTTGAACAGTTGTATAGGAGCAACAGATGAAGTGTTAACGCTGTTAACAGGAAAGAAAATCGTACATGTTGGCTACAAATTTTGGAAAAGAGAAAAACGTCTAACCTTTTCTTCGTTGTAGGTGGAGGTGGAGGAGGTGGTAGTATTGCTCCAGGAGGGTCTGACATCGATACAGATGCCTCCGTTGGAATGAGTGTTGGGAAAGGGTTATGATCAAGTGAGTTTTGTGCTGGATTTTGGGAATGAGGAAATATTCTTTCTCGCGTCATCGGAATAGGCATTGGTTCAATGACAGAGTTCGTCTCTGGGATTGGAGGTGAAGGCATGTTTTCACGTGGACCAAATATTTCCAATGTTTCGTCAGGATTCGGGAAGAAGTTATTCAAATTGTCGAGTAGCTTATTTTTTAAATAAACCTAAAACAGAATTTGCTTATCATCTCGAGGTATCAGAATGTTTACTAACAACAAGTTAAAAAGAACTTGCTTTATTCCCAAATGGCGAGGGTAATGGATCTGACAGAGGTTCATCGTGCAGCCGTTTAGAATCATGTGGGAACCTGAGGTTTGGACGCTCGTTCCCCTCCGATGTGCGAGAATATATAAGCAGCAATAGAAATAACATTAGACCTGCCAAAAGGCCAGGTTTACCCAATAACGTAATGGGAGACATTCGAAGAAAAAACGAAGCAAACGATTGAGAGATTCTAATGTCCGTAAACTACATAGATTAAGGACAATTAATTTTGTAATAATAATCTTCCTAAAAAGATAGATGTTTTGTGATCCGACGTGCATCAGATGTGAACGTTCGTGGTGGTCTGAATAACCTATGAAGTGTCATGAGTTGTTTAATGGTGCGAAGTAATATGAAGAAGAGACAGAACAAAAGAAATAAAAATTTGAAAAGCTCAAAAA